AGGGGAAATGCTTTCAATTTTTCTCCATTGAGGGTAATGCTTGCTGTGGGTTTGTCATATATAGCTTTTATTATGTTGAGGTATGTTCCTTCTATTCCTGCTTTAAGATTTTCTTTTTAACTGGTCAGGCAAAAAAATTTTCTCTTGATTTTTAAGAAAGGTGGTTTTTTTTTGTTTTTTGTTTTTTTAGAGATTCACTGTGTCATGGCTTTTACTGGAGGAGAATTTTTTAAATTTCTACTTTTCCTCAGCACAGGGGAGGTGTGTCGGGGTGGGGGGCAAGGGGCCGAGGACTCCAGGGACACATGGCATTGTACCTTGAGTGTCCCCCTAGGGAGGGGAAACAGGGAAGGGGTACTGGAAAGGGGAAGTGGGGTCTCTGAGCTCTCTGAACAAGCTGAAAGTACAAATAAAACTTAACCTGTTCCAAAATAAATAAATAAAATAAATCTCTATTTTTAACAGGAATAGCCGCATTATAGATTATATGAGCAGTGGAGGATCAATTTATAGAGTTAAAATTGAAGACTTGGAAAAAATTTCTATTCTTTAATTTTATATCTATATGGGATGATGGATGTTAACTAAGCTCATTTCATTATGTATGTAAGTCATTATGCAATACCTTTTAAACTTATACAGTGGTGTATGTCAAATACATCTCAGTAGAACTGGAAGGGGAGGGGGAAAAAAGGCATGGTATGTCAAATAAAAGGATACTCCTTTTTAAAAAAATCCTTGGAAAGGAGTCAGGTAATTGGTTACTCTTTTGTTTTTTTTTAACCTAATTGTATATTGAACTTTGTAGCAAACACTGAGAATTCTGTGTTTAACATGGATTGGTGTTAAGATTCCAGTCAAGTAATGTTTCCTGAAACAAAGCAAGCTACCAACACAGAGAAAATCTAACTAAACATAGTTAATCTGTAAACTCATTGTTAGCCCAGTACTCTAGTTCTAGATACTAACATGTAATGAAAGTTGATTGTATTTCTGATCATTTAAGTTCAGCTTCATCACTGAAACTTTTCCTTGATTTAGGTGGGTGGATACTCCTCTGAATGTGAGAGTAAAAGTCGCTCACTCTGACTCTTTGCGACCCCATGGACTATACAGTCTGTGGAATTCTCTAGGCTAGAATACCGGAGTGGGTTTCCTTTCCCTTCTTCAGGGGATCTTTCCAACCCAGGGATTGAACCAGTATTACAGGCTGATTCTTTACCAGTGGAGCCACAAGGGAAGCCCCATACTCTTCTGGGGACATGTAGAAAGAGAGACCCTCTCCTCCCCAGCCACTCTTTCTTGAGTACATACCTTTGCATAGGTATCTTGACAAACAGCTGACAAAATTTGATGATAAGATAAGCAAATACAGTTAAATTCAGATTCTCTTCAGCTGTATATAGAATTTAACAGTTTACATTTGAATATTTACTATGGAGAATGGAGAAATGTGATTAACTATGCAGGCATTTTTCTGCAGAGAAAGGTTACAAAGGGTTAGAATTTAATGTTGTGAATTGGAATGTACTTACATTTCCATGTGGTAGATTTTGAAATTACCATGAAATTACCTTGATCCACCAGAATAATTGATTGTTATCCCCCAGAATAAAAGATTTATGATCTAATCTTGTGAGATGAGACTGTTTTAGCAGTTCTGTGTTAAGCTCATAAACTTTATTGTCTGTTTGCTTGGATAGATAAAATGATAAAACCTAGATAAGTAACTGTATTTATTCTTTTTTCCCCTCATTTTCATTTCTCTTTTCTACTTACTTAGAAGAAGAGTGTTTAGATTGAATATCTGTTTGTGTGCATGTGCCCAGGATATTCCACCTTTGGTGTAATTATTTTCTTTCCTTTGTATGGCATATTATTAATTTAATATGTGATTATGGCTGAGAACTTCAGCTATCCCAGTCAGGAAGGGAAAACTATTGTTTCTGTAAGTAATAATAGAAGACTTTTTTAAAAAAATTACTTAGTTATTTACAATATTGTATTAGTTTCAGATGTATAGCAAAGTGATTCAGATATGTGTGTGTATAGTGGTATGTACTTGTTAATCCCATACTTTTAATTTATCTCCCACCTCCACTTTGGTAATCGTGTTTGTTTTCTATGTCTGTGAGTCTGTTTCTGTTTTGTAACTAAGTTCATTTGTGTCATATTTTATATTCCACATATGTGTGTCTTAGTTGCTCAAGTTGTGTCTGACTCTTTGCGACCCCATGGACTGGAGCCCATCAGGCTGTTGTCCATGGGATTCTCCAGGCAAGGATACTGGAGTGGGTTGCCATTTCCTTCTCCACATATAAGTGGTATCATATAATATTTGTCTTTCTCTGTCTAATTGGGTGTCTGTGGCAGTTAATGATAATTAACACCTGTTTGCTTTTCAGAACATCGAGTTGAAGGTTGAAGTAGAGAGCCTGAAACGAGAACTCCAGGATAAGAGACAGCATCTGGATAAAACATGGTAAGTTGCAGTTTGAACTAGTTGAACTCTTGGTTCTGTCCAGAGTCTGGCTCATTTAGCTGTAACCAAATTCTTTAACCTTAATTCTGGCATTTGAGTGCTGTATCCAATTCAGGAGTTAAAACAAGGGGCCTTCTTTTCCTTGGGCTAAGTCTGAGAGACATTGAAGTAGATTGTAATGTCATCAAACCTAAGCCTATAAACTTCCTAGTCAGTAATCTACAAAGAACATCCAGGGTTGACACAGAATTTGGGGGAAATGGGTACTCTCATATACTGCTGGTGAGAATGTAAATTGTGGTAACATTTTTGGAATGTGGTATTACTTATGAGAGTAAAAAATTAATACTTTCTTTGATCAAACAATTCTTAAAAGGAATCTATTCATCATAAATAAAAGTATGAGTATGAAAGGATAAATATATAAGGATATTAACCACATCATTTTTTCGTAATGGCAAAAAAATTAAAACAACTATCCATCAATAGGACAGTGGTTGAAAACATTTCAATATAAACATACTATGGAATATTGTACAGCCATTAAAAATGAATTAGGTCTATATATTATTATCCTGGTGGGAAGTCCCTGATACACTAAGTAAGGGGCAAAGTGCTGAGTGTTACTTAGAATATAAGCCCCTTTGGGTAAAGACAAACAACCTATGTGTACACGTGCTTGCTTGAGTATGCATAGAAAAAACTGCAGGGTTACATACCAAACACTTTAACATTGCTTTTATCAAGGGAGTGAGATTGAAATTTGTGATAGGGAGAAGACTTGATTATTTTTATATACCAATATTATTAGCATGGTTACTTTTATAATTAAAAACCCCTTAGTTTTAAATGACAAATGTTACTGAAATTTTTACTAAAAATAATTTTCAGATTAGGTCCTAAAATCAGTATGTATTTAATCTGATCTGGCATTCTTTCTATCTCTACAGTATTTCTTGATATTTATTAATAGAGTGATAGCCCAGCAATATAGACTGGGCTATATAGACTCAGCTATACACAGTATGCTGGTATTACTCAATTACTTACTAAGGCATTAAATGAGCTAATAGATTTTAGGAAAATGTGAAATACCAATTGAGTTATAAATTTTTAGATTTGCATAGTGTATTTTTAATTATCATTTCAGCCTTTTATTAGGTGGCATTATCCTATTTTTAGAAATGAGAAAGCTAAGGTACAGAGTGTTAAAGTCTTTGCAGATGAGTGGCAGAACCCACAACGTCTGGCATCAAGTTCAAGGCACTTCTGCCTTCACAACAGCTGCAGCCTATTAAATCAGGCATTCCTGGCTAACTGAGTTACTCAGAAATGTGTGACTTTAATCTTACGATATTGTACTTTGCTGTTGTCTATTACATTTATCAAGGAATATGGAGTCAAAGTAAAAGTTGATTATTCCTGAGGTCTGCCTATTTAGGGGGTCTTAGGTTATTCTCTTGACTGGTATCACTTATACAACAAAGACTCTTCTACTCCCAAAAGGCTGTATAATGACATGAACTCAAGATAAATATAGTCTCCAGGACAGTGCTGAGTAGTGTCCACTATCGACCAAGGAATTCTATAATCTTTAAGGAAGCTCCATTTGGTCACCATGGACACAACCTCTTGGGCCTAATATTAAAATACTCCTGGGCTTGGACAGAGCACCTTTGATTTATCATGAGCCTGTGAAGGTTCAGTATTGTTCTCTCTACCCTGAAAACAAGATGGTCAGTGGTTCTCAACAAATGGCTTAAAACAGGGATAAAATCAAACCGGAATTAAGATCATTCAGCACCTGATACTGCCTTCAAATTCTAATCCTCAGACATCCAAGGGCAGCTGTTGTCAGCTATAAATAAACTGGTGACACCTTACCCGCTTCGTGCTGGTGCCTGGACATTCATTCCTGAGGACATCAGAGAAGCAAAGCTGGCCCAGAACCCTGATCTTCCATAGATTAAATGTCCACTTTCTGCATGGGACCATGGGGAAACTGGATAGAACTCTGGGTAGGTAGCCCAGACTCAGGACAATCTACAGGTTACTGGCTAGAAAGGACAAGAGCCTTTCTGTGGCTGTCCAAATGGATATTCTGTTCCAGCAACCTAAATGGAAGGAACACTCTAAATTCAAGTAGCAAGAAATCAAGGAATGAGCAGGGGACTCTGGGAGAGCAGTCCAAATGGAAGAGTACAGGGACAGGTGACTGTGAACATGGATGCTGAGTTCTAAGCCATTTGATGACTACCTGCCTTTCAACTGAAAACTTTTCCTCTTAAAGCTGTAGCAGTAGTGAAGCTTCTCAGGTGTCAAGTATATTCTGATTGACAAGCAATACAAATTAGAATTCCTCAAAGATTATCTGAAATGAGCAGTTCCACGAATAATTGCAGTTCCACAAATAATTTCTTCTCATCAGTGTGATTCAGGATTACTGCAATAGCCTGAATGGGTCCACTAGCTAAGTTATATAGCTGGCTGTAACTGGCGAACGTTCTGTGGTTTTAGTGCTGATGCGGAGAATATCAACAGCCATAATGAAGCTGAGCTCCGGCGCCAGTTTGAAGAGAGACAGCAGGAGACGGAGCATGTTTACGAGCTCCTGGAGAATAAGATCCAGCTTCTGCAAGAGGTGAGTGTCCCCAGCTACGGGTCCCCTTTTACCTCTTTCCTGACTGCCCTGCCTCCTGGCCTTTACCTTTTCCCTCTCTACTTTCCTTCCTAAGCTCCTTAAGTGTCCCTGTGTTTCAGGGCTCCTAACCTAGGTGGGGCTCTGCAGCTTCTTGGTTTTCATTCTTTTCTGTGTCTTCTTGCAGGAGTCCAGGCTAGCAAAAAATGAAGCCGCACGAATGGCGGCTCTGGTGGAAGCAGAGAAAGAGTGTAACCTGGAGCTCTCGGAGAAACTGAAGGGAGTCACCAAGGAGAGGGAAGATGTACCAGGAGACCGGGTCAAATCTGACCAGTACACTGAGGCCCTGGCCCAGAGGGACAAGTAGGTACCTTTGGTACTGTATTTGCCACTTGTCTTTTGCCTGTTCTCGAGCCTGTAAGAGTATATAGCAGCTGCACTTTTGCCTTTTAAGGACTTATGGTGGACCTTTACCATTTCCAAGACTTTTTGGCTCCCCTAAGTAAAGAATCTCTTTTTAGGGTTGAATCTTTAATGGTATCCATTAACAGAACTGACTTGCTGGCAATCAGGAGATTTAAGTAGGTGTAAGTAGAACAATGGTCAAATGATAGTGAACAAGAGACATGATCACTTATTCACATGGATTGAGCACTTGCTGTATGCCAGACACTGGACTAAGCCCTCAGGTTACAGAGATGAAAGACCCATTTCCAGTCATCAAGACACGTGTTATACATTATTAATAAGTTCTTTGGTAGAAGTAACATGGGATACTCTGGGGTGTATAGGATTGTCATCTACTCAAGAGCAGGGTGCCACTGGAAGTTTCCTGGAGGAGGAGAAATCTGAGGTGGATTTTGAAGAGTGAATAGGAGTTAGAAGAAACAATGTAGGAAGTGGTCAGGGAGGGGAAATGTCCTGGGCAGGAGGAAACACCATTGAGGGGAGACACAGGACAGGCATGTTTCAAGAAGTGTAATTAGTTCTACATGACCAGGGTGGAGGGTCTGGGGAAGACCAGTGAGAGGTAAGCTGTATTGGGAAAAGGGCGTCTGATTGTGCTGGCTTTGTACTTAAAAGGAACTTGAATTTCCTCATAAAGGTAAGTGGGCCGTTGTTGAGGGCAGGACTGTGTCTTGGTTATTACAGCAACTTCTTAACTGTTCTCTTTACTTCTGGTCCTGCCCTTCTCCGTTTCATCCCAATCTAACAATTCAGAGTAGTTTTGAAATGAAATTGACAAATATTTAGCCTCTTCAATGCATGATACTATGGTGGCATAAAAAGCCTTAAGTGGTTTTTAACTGGATAGGTGAAAAACACACAGTGTACACACAGTGACCAATGACCAATGTGATCGTTTTGAGACACAAATCTGATCATATTATTGTAGAGCCGCTTGGAAAGTTCTCAACATCTTTAGGAGGTAAGATCTGTTCTTAGTGTGGCCATCAAAGCCTATTATGTTCTGACCCCTGGTTTCCCCCAGACTCATCCCCTATCATGACTCCACATTTCACTGATTCCAGACTAGGAATAATAATGATGACTAAGGTTTGCTGGGCTCTTACTATATCACTGAGCTGAGTCCTTTATATTCTTGTTTAATTCTCCCACAAAGTTTAACTCTCTCATAAAGTTGACAATCCCATGAGATAAGGATTATTATACTTTGTAAAGGGAGAAATTGGCATTTAGAGAGTAATGTAACAGGGCTTCAGGCTTTGCTGGAATCCAGCCCCTGAAGGCACAGCACCTCCAGAAGCATACAGTGCTGTGTCAGATACCTAGAATTTTGTTCATGCTCTTCCTTTGTGGGGAAACATCTGTGTTTTCCCCTCCTGGTGAACTCTTGTTCATTCTTCAAAACTCATGAAGGCATCAATGGTTACTTCTGTGAAGGGTTTTGTGACAGAATTAAGTATTTATATTCTTGTTTTGTTTTTTTTATGTGTGCATGCTCAGTCACTAAGTCATGTCCTACTCTTTGTCATCCCATAGACAGTAGCCCTCCAGGCTGCTCTGTCCATGGAATTTTCCAGGCAGGAATACTGGAGTGGGTTGTTACTTCCTACTCCAAAGGATCTTCCTGACTCAGGGGTCAAACCCGCATCTCCTGTGTCTCTTGCATTGGCAAGTGGGTTCTTTAGCACCGCACCACCTGGGAAGCCCTTGTTTTGTTTGCACATCCATTAGTGTACAGTCTTCCATGCATTGTTGTATTTTCTTTCAGATCTTCCCTGCTAGATTACCTGAGACTCTGTCCCATCCCTGTATTCCAGTGAACACTTGTCAAATCAAAAGGAAAAAAAAAAAAGACAGACATACCTAACAAATTGAGGGAGTTCATGTCAGATGGCCTTGAAAGCTTTGTAAAGTAGGAAAGTAGATCATCTGTAGAGACTGAGGGTCAAAGGGAATAGTGAGGTATGGGGCTCAAATAGAGATGTCCTAGCACAGATACCATGGGGAAGTTAATATGAAGTCCACATTCGTCATCATAACTATCATTGCAACTTACATTTTTAAGTTTTTAAAGTTCTTTCTCATCCCCAAATCTAAGCTGATGCTCATACCTTAAATTAATTTGTAATTTGTCTGTGAGATTCCTACTTGACTTTCTCGTGCCCTTAACCTTTTGTCCATACCATTTTCCTGCCAAGGTGCTGTCACTGTCTTAACACATGCTGTGTTGCATGTGTGCTCAGTTGTGACTCCTAGGACTGTAGGCCACCAGGCTCCTCTATCCATGAGATTCTCCAGGCAAGAATATTGGAGTGGGTTGCCATTCCCTTTTCCAGGGGATCTTCCTGACCCGGGGATCAAACCTGCATCTCCTGCATGTCCTGCATTGGCAGGCAGATTCTTTACCACTGAGCCACCTGGAAATCCACACACCCAGGAATAATAATCACAATCAGAAGAAATTTTACATCTATTACCAGCATGTTTTCCAAGGACAGGTATCTCTAGTACTCAGACTTACACACAGAGAAACAGCAAGATATGCCTTGCCCAAAACTGTTGATTTGAACCTGGGTTTATATACATCAGCACAGCATGCAGTCTTTGACAAGTGAAATCTAGCCTGAATTTCCAGCCTCTTCTCTAGCCTTTGTCTCTTCCCACCAGCATTTCCCCTGCTACTAACTCTTTCCCATATATCTTGTATCTTCACGCCTTCATCCCTTTATTTAAACTCCTTCCTCTGAGCCTATAAAACAACCCAGTCTTCAAAATCTCTTGTCCTGAGCTTCCCCTCAGGCTCCTCCAAGTCAAACGAATGACTTCTTCTTTATGTTTCATCCTGTAGCTCCATGACAGTACTCACTGTACTATTTGGTTCATAGCTCTGGTAGGGTAGCACTTATTATAGTCTATCTGTAGATTTATCTATGACTCCCTATTCCCCAGACCCTTGGCACATGCACCAAAAAAGTTAACTTTCTGTAGAGATAGTGTGTTTTCCAACTTTATATCACCAGTACATTCAGGATGCATTGAATTATATACATAATGTGTGTATGTGTGCCCAGTCATGTCTGACTCTTTTTCGACCCCATAGACAGTAGCCCACCAGGCTCCTCTTCAGGGATTCTTCAGGCAAGAATACTGGAGTGGGTTGCCATGCCCTCCTCCAGGGGATCTTCCCTACCCAGGGATCAAACCCACATCTCTTGTCTCCTGCATTGGCAGGTGGATTCTTTACCACCGTGCTACCTGGGAAGCCCATATACATAATGGTTACTTGATAATTGTTTTTTTAACTGCAACAACAATAACAAATAAATGAAAAGACCCACAACTTCTGAGAGTTTTATACTTATGGTCTATAGATCCGTGGATTGGCTTCAGGAGGTCTATGAACCTTACATTATGACAATGTAAGCAAAAAACTCATTTGTGTATATGTTGGGGGGGGGGCCTGGGGCAGAGAATGCATGGCTTACTGAAGAAAAGTATCAATGACTTTAAAAAGGTAAAAACTTACTGTACCAGACCATGCTACTTTTGGAGTGGGCTGAAAAATAAAGTTAGTAATGTATCATGGCCATAACTGTTGTTCTTACTTTTTCTTTGCTCCAGAAGAATTGAAGAACTGAGTCAGAGCCTGGCTGCAAGGGAGAAACTTGTAGAACAGCTGTCTCAAGAGAAACAACAACTGCTCCGTCTGTTGGAGGAGCCAGCTGACATGGAAGTGCAGGTGAGGTTTGGGCTGTACTTCCTGAGGCACCTGCTTCATGCTTTTAGGAGCCTAACGTTACATATAAATGTATTCGTCTTCTATTACTGTGTAAGCAATTACTGCAAACTCAGTGGTTCAAAACAACATATATTTATTATCAAGAGTCCAGGCATGACTTAGCTGACTTTTCTGCTCAAGGTCTCACAAGTCTGAAATCAAGGTGTCAGCTGGGCTGCTTTCTCAGCTGGAGGCTCACTTAGGGAAGGATCTACTTCTAAGCTCCCTCAGGTTGCTGGAAGAATATTGCTGTGCGATTGTAGAAGTTATGGCAGCTAGCTTCTTCACAGCAGTAGTGGAGAGAGAGAGTCTCTTACTTCTCGACACTCTTTGAAGGGGTTCACCTGATTAAGTCAAGCCATCAGTGTACTATCCCTTTTGGTTTATTTAAAGTTAACTGAGTAGGGATCTTAATTATATCTGCCACACCCCTTCACTTTTGCCATATAATGTTGCATAACTATGTAGCGATATCCCTCACCTTTGCTATTTTCTATTGGTTAGAAGCAAGTTACAGGTCTCTCCACATTCAAGGAGTGGGGATTATATAAAGGTGTGGATACCAGGAGGTGATGATCACAGGGACTGTGTCAGGATTCTGCCTGCCACACTGAGTTATGTATAGCTATAGAGAATGCAGTGTGGTTTTAGTATTGAGCAGAGAACCCTCACTGCTGTGAAAGTAATTGCATTAATCTGTGTGGTTGTTCTTGGAGGTTACCTCAGAAGGAGCTCATCTTCTTCATTCAACTTTTAATTTACTAAAAATATACTTTCTGAAGGAACTCTAGGATCCATCTCTGCTCAAGCAACATAAACAATTACTAGGTATTCTTACAAATCTTAGATCAATGATGAAGCAAAATGTGCAATTTAATTTATTGGTCACATATATAAAGGTTGGAATCAGGTTAAAAAGAGCAGGGCTAACAATGAGTATAAAGCAGTGTTTTCCACCTTTCCCATATCATGACAAAAAATAGCTAATAATAATAAACATGTAGAAAATGACATGATTTACAATGTAATCAAGTTGCTTAAGTGACTTTTTCTCATTATCAACTGCTTTTTTTTATTACTCAAGTCATAAATAGCAATTACATAAAATAAAATCTGAAAACTCAAATAAGCAAAAAAATGTTTTCAATAGCTATGACCAGTATAAAAAAATTCAGTTTTAAAAATTGAGACCCTTCAATAAATTTATTCATTAATTATGGTTTTAAATAGTAGCAAATGATAATATTTATAAGGGGTGGCAGAAATGGATGGAGCTTCTCACTTGAAAGTGGCCAGCCTGGGTGCTTAGACCACAGTGAGAGCAGAAGAAATCACTATCTTGACTGCACTATCAACCCTTTGGACTCTAAATCCATTTTGGTTGGAAAACTCTGTTTAACAAACTCAGAAAATGATGTGCATACATGTAATTTGATAGATATGAGTAAAAATTAAAGTTCATAGGCTTTTTGCAGGATACATATTGAAATATATGGAAGATTCCACAACATTTTAAAATTTGAAATAACTTGGTTGGAAATTACAAGAACTGGATTTCTGTCCTGATTCTTTCTTATTAACTATGGATAGTCACTGCTATGGATACATCACTTCTCATCCTCCATATGTGTAAAATGGGAAAAATTAGCCCAAATAATCTCCAAAGGATCCTATAATTTTGACATTCTGAGTTCAGCATCACTGGGGAAAGTGTATAGTCCCCAAGATAAGTACTTTCAAAGAAAAATACTCATGTAAATTCTGAAATAAAATCACTCTAATTGTTCTAGTTTTATATTTACAGACACATTGATGTGATATATTTATGTACACACACTTATTTTCATTAGTATCTTTGGTAAGCACTGAAATGAGTATATGTAGTTCAATATTTGAATGCTAATAAGGGGATTTGAGTTGGTATCAGTTTTTAAAACAGACTTGAAGAACAGAAAAATTATAATTTCAAAGAGACTAAATTATTTACCAATCTATCCTAAAGGAATGCTTAGAATAAGTTAAGTACATAAGTTAATAATAAGTTAAGTAATAATAAGTGTCTAGAGGATAATAACATTGGGTGAGCAGAGATAAGAAATGCATCAAGTCATATAAATTGTACTAACTTGATATGCTTCTTTAATGTTGCTGGGACCTATAAAAATTTATTATTGTTATTGCCCATAATTTTGTACATTTGATCACATAGTGCTGTGAATTCTGTCAATCAGTATTTCCCAACCTTTTGCATAGAAAGCTCAGTTTCATAGGAGATGATTGAGGGTCTCTGTTACTCTGAAGTAAGTGACTAAGGCTGGTCATCGTTAGAGGTGATTATCTGTGTCTACCTTCTGACCCATCCACCACCTGAGACCTGAAGGCATGACATCTCAGCACAGGGGTGGGCCACTTTTTTAGGTGTTGTCCAGAACACCCAAGATGGAAAGCTCTGCCATAGAGGGCCTCTGGCAGTAGGTCCTCTCAAATGTGGAGGAGAGAAAGCCTCCCAAAGTTCACTTTCTAGTTACTCCCTTTGGGTCTGTGCCTTATGAAGGAAAAAATAAATTGGCACCAAGTGCTGCTTAGTATGCATAGAATTATTTCATATTATTATTTCCTTCTCCAAGGGATCTTCCTGACCCAGAAGTTGAACCCGAGTCTCCTGCATTGGCAGGCGGGTGGGTTCTCTACCACTGAACCACCTGGGAAGCCCAATTATCTTCTCTAAACAGCCCAAAGAAGACTGGCCAGACAGTCAGCTTTATAGTGAGCATTCAGATAATCCTCTGAAAACTTCTCTCAATGTGTGTCCAGGTTCCAAAAGAAAACAATGTTTTGGTCACAGTGTTTCTGTCTTATATTCTATGGCCTAAACAGAAAGAAATTTGAAATTTGGGACTATATTTAGCTTGGGACTATTTAGCCACGCTCAAGTGGTTCAGATTGTCATAATAAAAGGATACAGTCAAGTCCTTTTAGAGAAATAATCTTGGTCCTTCAGGAACTGATTCTAATATGAAGTCTCTTGAGTTTTAATTAAGGAAGCAGAGTGGTATGAAAGAATGAGCTCAGGTTTTGGCATTTGATTCCAACATAAACACTTTTCAGATGAATGGCCTTGAACAAGTTACATAGCCCTTCCAAGTACAATTTCCTCCTCTGTAATGTTCATCTCTTTGTAAGGATTAGAAATAATATATGTATAGTGCCCAACAGGGCTCAAAACATGGTAACTACTGTTGTCATTATGCATGTCAACACCCTGGAAGAGAGTAAGGCTATTCTTAAAATGAGTAGCAGCTAAAAAGACATAGTGATTGAGTTAGATATTGCAGACTTGACTCACATTGTAACTCTCTTTGTCTTGACGAAAGACAAAGATAAAATGATTAAATATAGCATATTTGTGAGATTAATGGTCACAGTTATCCCTTTGGATCTGTTACCCTTGCACATAGAAAAACTGGTTCATAGGCAAAGACCAAACTCAAAGTTACCAGTTTGTGTTACTGCTCCCCAGGAAGACCACAACAGAGTGTGAATCCTTCAGGGTAAACTGGTCACAATGAGAATCATAATCTCATTTTAGTCTCCTAGACACACAAATATACTGAAGCACTTTCTGTAACATCTTGGGATCAGGTAGTCATATTCTAATGGTTCAGATTATTATAATAATAAGACCTAAAAGTAAAGCCACAGGATTTCTTAATACCTATTCCAGGTATAATTTAAAATATTTATCAATGAGTATTCAACAACTTTTCTATAGTAATAACATCAGCCCATATGGTAGCATTTTCTGTGTGCCAGGTGCTACTCTAAATACTTTATATATTAACTCATTTTAGGTCTCAGAGTAACCCAGTAAATTAGATACTGAACTACATGAAACATAAAAAGAGATTAGTTTATAATAAATCAGTGGTCATATTAATATGTAAATTTTAAGACACATCTCTATTAAAGGCTATAAAGAAATAAGCAGATGCTTGTATGTGGAGTCACAGCTTCAAATACAGTCTAATGCAGGTATGTTATATTGGCAATTTAAAAACAGCAAGTGGCAACGTCAAGGTAAAAAGCTCTTGGTAAAATTTCCAATAAAGAAGTAACATAATCCTCTGTTAATTTACATATCAGTTTAATTCATAGAAGATTCAGAGTATATTAACGTTGGGTTCCAAAATACAACAGAATTAAGTCCTAGATTCAGATGATTATGTAAACAATTTGATTACTTCCATTAGTGCCCAGTGGAACATTTGAAAGTCATTCATATTTTGGGACAAGGCTCTGTCCTGCCTATTGCCAGTTATGCTGTACCCCTAGCCTCACTCATCATTGAAATAAGAAATGCCCCACAAATTTTCAATGCATTCTAGGATATGGCTGCTTGATAAGAACCACTGGTCTAGGAGTCCTGGCCTTCAAAGGGTTTAAAATCTAATAAGTGATTGGCATATAAACAAAGTATTAAAATGCAGCATGACAAATGGAGAGAAATATAAGAAATATACTCATAGTGCTAGGAGGACCCAGAGAGGAAAGAGATCATATCTTTGGATGTCAGCGAAAGCCTCACTTGGAAGTCAGCCTGGACCTGGGGCCTTAAAGGCTGAGTAGCCTAGGCAGACAGTAGGAGAAGGGCATTCTAGGCATGGAAACAATATGTACAATGGTATGGAACACACTCAAGGAATTGGGAGTCATTGATGTTACCAAATATATGCTAAGTGTTGAAGAATGATGGAATATATAGCTGGAAAGTCCCATAAATGTCAAGCTAAGGAGCATGTTCTAGGCGCGGGGTTCCCAATCTCTGGGCTGCAGAATGGTACCTCCTACCAGATCAGTGGCAGAATTAGATTAGAAATAAAGTGCACCATAAATGTAATGAGCTTGAATCATCCTGAAACCATCCCCCCACCCCTAGTCCATGGAACAATTGTCTTCCACGAAATTATCCCCAGGTATCAGAAAGGTTGGGGACTGCTGTTCTAGGTAATGAAGAGCTAAAAATTAAAAAAAAAAAAAAAGAAAAGGGAATAAAAGCCTTTGAAGTGGCATTATACAAAGACAATCCTGGTGGTTGTTTAGATGCAGGATTGACTGAGCAGATCATTGATGTCATCTCCCAGGTGGTTCAGTGGTAAAGAATCTGCCTGCCAATGCAAGAGTCAAATGAGACCCTGGTTCAGTCCCTGGATTGGAAAGATTCCCTGGAGGAGGAAACAGCAGCCCACTCCAGTATTCTTGCCTGGAGAATTCCATGGAGAGTGGAGCCTGGCGGGCTACAGTCCATAGGGTCACACAGAGTTGGACATGCATGCACTTGGGATAGCAAATCATGGTTCAGTGCAGCTATTAACTGCTTCAACCTAGCCCATTCTGTGAATTAGATAAAGGTAAAGAATATTATAAAACCAGCTATAGAGCACTTTGCCTATACAGTGATGTGTGACAACTCTTTATTTGTGACACCCCAAGCCCTGATGCTGGGAAAGATTGAAGGTGGGAGGAGAAGGGGACAACAGAGGATGAGATGGTTGGATGGCATCACCAACTCAATGGACATGAGTTTGGGTAAACTCTGGGAGCTGGTGATGGACACGGAGGCCTGGTGTGCTGCAAACAGTCAGACATGACTGAGCAACTGAACTGAACTGAAGCTCTTGATGCTTCAGTTATCAAACAAGGTGTTATCCTTGTTTGCTAACAATAGCAGCATCTTAGTTCTACTGTATTATACTCAAACTGTAATCTGCCATGCCACTTGTCACCACAGGAGCCACACCTCCACAATGTGAAAGGCACAAGTTAAATTTGTAAGCTCTGGGCCTGCTCCACAGAGACTGAAGAATTTTTTCATCCCCAGCAAAGCTATTCCCAAAACCCCTTACAGATGTTAGGGAACCAAGGAGCTTGAGTTCTGAGGAGTGATTCACTTCCTCCACCTCCTCCCAGCCCCTCCCAACCGGGAACTCCGCACCTGGGCTTCAGAAGAAAGACAGCTCACAACTCATACACTTCTAGGTTTGAGTTATTCAAATGTAAGACACTCATCTTACCCCTCCCCCCATAGATAAATATTATACTTCTAATGTAATCTCAGTATGAAAGTCTGGACTGAGAACTAATCTCTGAGTTTCAGAGAAAAAAATCTCTGAAGTTTACTTCAGAATCTTCCTCAAATAAGAAAGACAGTTTTGATAAAAATTATTTGATTGAATTTATTTTACTATCCCTCTAGCTGTTTCCCTTTTTCATTCTACCAGAACGTTGTGCACTGTTGTTATCTCTAAGTTGTGTCTGACTCTTTGCAACCCTACAGACTATAGCCCACTAGGCTCCTCTGTCCATGGGATTTTTCAGGCAAGAATACTGGAGTGGGTTGCCATTTCCTTCTCCTTTCCAACCCAGGGATCGAACCTGCGTCTCCAGTTTGGTAGGCAGATTCTTTATTAGCATCCCTTTTAGCTGGATTGTACCTGTAGAATACTTATGAACTTCTTTTATATAATTAACTTCATAGAGCAACAACAACAATAATACTGCAAGCTTGACATGCCACAGATTGAGAACACTCCATGTTTGCTTTCAATGTATGCTCCGTGTGCATTCAGATCAACAGTATGTTGTGACCAGAGTGCTCAGGAGCATCGTGATGGAGCTGTCAGGCCACGGCAGCTTGTCTACATCTTTCTTACTAGGGACTCAGAAAACCTAATAAAGTGCAGTTTACAAAGTGTTTTTCTCTTCCTTAGTGAAGCTATCCACAAAGTTGCAGGCGAAAGCTGTCAGTTGTTCTGGTTATTGATATTATTCTCTTCTTCAGAATCAATGTGCCTGCTCAGTCACATCTGACTCATTGTGACCCTTTGGACTATAGCCTGCCAAACTCCTGTGTCCATGGGGTTTTTCAGGCAAGGATACTAGAATGGGTTGCCATTTACTCTTCCAGGGGATCTTCCATGACCCAGCATTGAATCCACATCTGCTGCATTGCAGGCAGATTCTTTACCTGCTGAGCCATAGGGTAACCCCTTTCTATGGAATGGTAGAAGCTTTATTTAAAAGAATTTTTTAAATGAAACCAGACCTGAAGGGTATGAAGGCAGGAGGGGAGATAATATCCTTGCAAAGGAATATCTGGAGAAATTCTTGCTTTGTTTCTTTTTTTCTCCTCTCCATTCCCCCCCACCCCCACAACCAGTATTATATAAACACCATTTATTAATGTGTGATTACACTGTGGTTGGCCTAAAAAATGACACAGGACAACAGACTTAGGGGAGTCATCTATTAAGCCATCAGGACCTTCCTCCTCACACAAAGCAACAGACACTTGAGCCATTGCATTTATGCCTCGTTTGGAACCTAATGTAAATATCACTGCATGCAGTGAGGCATATTTCCTAAAATAGCAAACATTCCAGTGTTACCACGGAGACATCTGATGTAGAAGGTTAAGGCAAGAATGCACTCTAATGCTCAAGGCAGAGACTGAAAACCTTGCAGGGATTAGCAGCTCAGGCAGCTCCAGCCAACTTCATGTAAGGAGAGTGTTTTTTTTTAGAGCAGTTTTTCAGTATCCCCTTCTTAAGCTGATGAAATTGAAGCTAGAGACTCATTTATAAATCCTCATTCAACGTCAGTGTCTTCCAGACAAGCCTTCATTGGTAATGTGTCTCAGAAATAGGCTTTATCACCCACGGCAACCATAGTTCTGCTAGAGCAGGAGAGGAGGTAGAAAAATGAGGGGTTTCTTTGCAGCTTTATTTACTGAGCACTTAAATGCACAAGGTACTGTAAGGTGAAGGAAGACAAAAACTTAAAGTTAGTCTCTGACTTCTAGGAATTACAATCTGATTGGAAGATAAGAAAATCTGTGATGGGAACAAAATACAAGGCAGAGGAGAAAGGAAAAAAATCTAAGGGGCTGCGTGGGCAGTGAAGATTCTGGTCTGTAAGAAATAAACAGGAATTTAATAAGAGATTAAAAAAATAATAGACATCAATTTATTTATTCATCCAGTAGAGTACCTCAGAAGATAACACGATGAGTTAAATGTGGTTCCTCTTCTTAAGGAGCTTACCTGCCTAAGGGGAGAAGGCAAAATGGCACACATATTACTATGGGTATAAAAAGTGCTTTGGAAGTTCAGACAAGAGAAAGATATGAGGGGATTAAGAAAGGCAACTTAAAGGAAATACTTGAGGCTGGTTAGGGCTTTGACAAGTGGAGGTGGTAACAGTGAGAAAGAATGTTACAAGTAGGTAAGAGAGAGGTAGGAAATCTCAGGGAAAGGAAGCAGTAGTTGGAATAGTGAGGATGTGCAGGGAGACAGTGAGTTTAGGCTGGAAAGATAGGATAATGCTGGAGTCAGAGGACCTTAGATGGCAGGTCAAGAAGTTTATAATTGTGGGTTAAGTCCTTAGGTCTCCAGATTACTATGCAGGAAAATGATATATTGAGGTGTTTTATAAAGATTAATCTGGAAGAAGGAATAAGTAGAAGAGAAAGAAGGTGAGAGGACTATTATGGAACTCGATTACTTAAGATATGAGGTTGCTAGCGGGTAACCAAGAATGAAAGATTTGTGCTAAGCAAAAGAATGAAGGCTCCAATACTTTGGCCACCTGATGCAAAGCACCAACTCGCTGGAAAAGACCCTAACACCGGGGAAGATTGAAGGCCAGAGGCGATGGGGGCAGCAAAGGATGAGATGGTTGAATGGCATCACTGACTCAATAGACATGAATTTGAGCAAACTCTGGGAGACAGTGTCCTCCAGAACAGAGCATGGCGTGCAGCAGTTCATGGGGCTGCAAAGAATCAGAAACAATTTAGTGACTGAACAACAACAACAAAAGAATGAAATAAAATTTTAAGATATAATGACCTGACAGTGACAGTGCAGGAGAAATAAGAGACACGGGTTTGATCCCTGGGTCGGGAAGATTGCCTGGAGAAGGAAATGGCAACCCACTCCAGTATTCTTGCCTGGAGAATCCCATGAATAGAGGAGCCTGGTAGGCTACAGTCCATGGGATCGCAGAGCCAGACATGACTGAAGCAACTTGGCATGCATGCAAGCGATTCATTCATTCATTGATTCACTCGTGTAATTCAGTCAGTGACTGTTTATTGAGTGCCTACCATAGCCAGACACTGGTGTGATTAAGTGCTGGAAAAACCATAAGAATAAGCATGGTAGAGTCCTTCCCCTCAGGGAGCTTATATTCTAATAAGGGAGCTAAATAACCACATAATCAAGCAAATAATTGCAAATTGTGATAAATACATTGAGAAAAGATAAAAGAGCAAGGATTGGCAAACTATCAAAGACCAGATAGAAATAATTTAGACTTTATAGGCCATAAGATTTCTGCCATTGTAGCACAAGACCAGCCATACACAATACATGAAGGACTTGGCATAGCAGTGTTCCAATAAAACTTTATTTACAAAAACAGGTGGGGGTCAGGTTTAGCTCCCAATTCATAGTTCCCATGACCCTTAATAGATAATTAGGAGGAAAGAGGGGGAGGCACTATAGGTAAAGGGAAGATGGCAAAAAAGAATTCTATCTTTCCTGGGATAATTTTGAGATGTCTCTGACACATATAGTTGCAGGTGCAAATAGTAGTTGGCCATTTGAGAGTTGAACTCAGAGGAGCATTCTTGGATAAAGATATTCTTTTAGTGGTTCTGACCACCAACTGCAACATGTGTGTTCAGAGCAGGAGCACTTCCCACATAACACTGAGCCATTATTAGACGTAGCAGAGTGTCTGAGAATTCAACTCAATTCTGATACTATCTACCTGGAGACAGCATCAGAGCCCACAGTTAAGGATTCAGTCTCACCTTAAGGACTGCCTCCACACCCCTCTCAGTGACCCCTCTGTCCCTCTCCCTTCAACCCCTGGGGCTTCAGACAATGGTTACAAATCCCACCTTATCATCTGTGCCTCTGGCCAGCAATAGATAAGAAGTTTCAATAGCCTCCTCCTTGGACTTCAGACACCAGTCACAAGTACAGACTGTTACATGTATGACCAACTTGCATGACCACCTTGCTAGAAATTAGAGGTTCACATGATACAACCCCCTCCTTGGGTTAGATTAATTTGCCAGAGCTGCTCACAGAACTAAGAGAAAACAGTTTACTTACTGCATCACTGGTTTATTGTTTAAGGATATAACCCAGCAATAGCAAGATGGGAGATATGCATTGGGCAAGGTATGTGTGAAGGGGTGTGGAACTCCCAAGCCTTCCTTCACCAGGCATAGTACTCTCCCTGAATTTCCAGGCATTCACCAACCCAAAAGCTGTCTGAACCCAGTCCTCTTGGGTTTTTATGGAGGTTTCATTACAAAAGCATGATTGACTGGATCATTGGCCATTGGTGATTGACAGACTTCAGGTCTTTTTCCCTTCCCTGAAGATTGGGGATAGGACTGAAAATTCCACCAGATTACCTTACCTGTCTCCTGAGAAACCTGTATGCAGATCAAAAGCAACAGTTAGAACCGGACATAGAACATTGGACTGGTTAAAATTGAGAAAGGAGTATGTCAAGGCTGTATATTGTCACCCTTCTTATTTAACTTTTATGCAGAGTACACCATGCAGAATGCCAGGTTGGATGAGTCTCAAGCTGGAATGAAGATTGTCAGGAGAAATATCAACAACCTCAGATATGTAGATGATACCACTTTAATGGCAGAATGTAAAGAGGAACTAAAGAGTCTTTTGATGAGGGTGAAAGAAGAGAGTGAAAAAGCTGGCTTAAAACCCAGCATTCAAAAAACTAAGATCATTTATCTGGCCCTATCACTTCAGGGCAAATAGAACGGGGAAACAATGGAAACAGTGACATTTTATTTTCTTGGGCTCCAAAATCACTGCAGACAGTGACTGCAGCCATGAAATTAAAAGATACTTCCTCCTTGGAAGAAAAGCTATGACAAGCCTAGACAGTGTATTAAAAAGCAGAGACATCACTTTGCTGACAAAGGTTCATATAGTCAAAGTTACAGTTTATCCAGTAGTCATATAGAGATGTGAGAGTTGGACCATTAAGAAAACTGAGCACTGAATTTTTTGAATTGTGGTAATGGAGAAAATTCTTGAGTATGTTGGGCAGCAAGGAGATCAAACCTGTTAATCCTAAAGGAAATCAACCCTGAATATTCATTGGTAAGACTGATGCTGAAAGTGAAGCTCCAATACTTTGGCCACCAGATGCTAAGAACCAACTAATTGGAAAGGACCCTGATGCTGGGAAAGATTGAGGGCAGGAGGAGAGGGGGACCACAGAGGGTTAAATGGTTGAATGGTATCACCGACACAATGGACATGAGTTTGAGCAAATGGGAAGATAATGAAGGACAGGGAAGTCTGGCGTGCTGCAGTCCATGGGATTGCAAATAGTAGGACAGGATTTAGTGACTGAACAACAATAACAATCATGTTCCTCTGGTGACTTTCACACGCTTTGAGTCACCTCATTAACATAATAAAAGACACCTTTATCACTGTCATCTTTTAGGAAATGCCAAAGATTTAGGATTCTGTGCCAGAAAGAGGGACAAACCAAATATATATTATTATAAATCACAGTATCACAAATATAAGTTGGAAGTTATTAATACAAATATGGGAAAGGCTGTGTGTGCTTAGTCACTCAGTCATATCTGACTCTCTGAGACCCCATGGACTGTAGCTTGCCAGGCTCCTCTGTCCATGGGGATTCTTGAGGCAAGAATACTGGAGTGGGTTACCATGCCCTCCTCCAGGGGGATCTTCCCAACCCAGGGAAGATCCCAGGGATCGAACCCAGGTCTCCTGCACTGCAGGCAGATTTTTTACCATCTGAGCCACCAGGGAAGCCTATCACAGTATCAAAAATATAAATTGGAAGTTATTAATACCAAGATGGGAAAGGCTGAGATGATATTGAAAGAGAATGAAAGGACAGGTGAAAATGGCCTAGGACTGACTCACTCTCATTGAACTCTCATCAATCCCAGCGATGGAACCCAGGGATTGAACCCAGGTCTCCTGCACTGCAGGCAGATTCTTTACCATCTGAGCCACCAGGGAAGCCCATCACAGTATCAAAAATATAAATTGGAAGTTATTAATACCAGGATGGGAAAGGCTGAGATGATATTGAAAGAGAATGAAAAGACAGGTGAAAATGGCCTAGGAGTGACTCACTCTCACTGAACACCTACAAAAGGTTCATAGTAGGTGTGACTCCGAATTTACAAATTCACTTATGCAGGAAATACCACATTACTTTTCTTAAATCAATTTAATGTTACCCTGAATCCTTATCCTAGTCAGGCTGGTGGGAAATTAAATTCCATTCATTTGGTACTTCCTCCTCCCCACTCTCTCAGTTATGTGATGGACCCTAGGCTTTATCAGGTGTCAAAGCATCAAGGAGACTACTCTGACCATTTGTCCACCGATGAAGCACCCCTGCCATAGCACACACAATTCTACCAATCCTAAGTGGACTCTTTGATAGAGCCTAGACTAGACTATCCTCTCCAGGTCACCCAGGCCTTCTCTGCTCAGGTCCGGCTGCTTCTGCAGGACACTAATGATGGAGGTGGGTCCCTGTTTCTCTTTGAGCTCCCACCTCCACCCCATTCTCTTTCTGATTTGGGTGAAAATTTACCCTTTCCTCTTTTGTTGACCTCAAAGACATTTCTCTCTTTTTCTCTTCCACACTGGGACACCTGGCTTAATCTTTTCAGTGGGTTTAAAATTTTATCCAAGTCAGGA